TTTACACATTTAATTTAAAAAGGAATAATAATAATTATAACAATAATTTGAGGTTCTTATAAACTGCTTTATCACAACCTAGTTCGTAGGTCGTCTCAAAGCAGTTCACAAATTACTATCGCCTCCAACAATTTCCTGGCTAATGCATTATGCATTACATTTTAAGAGGTCTACGAAACAGTTGAGTACACAAGAATATAAAACCACATGTATTGATGCAATTCATACTTTCTTTGAAATGAAATATTTTAACAAAATCACGAGATCAACAGGACATATGAAATTGGGCGGGGGGGGAAATTACACCAGATTTAATTAGATGTCAAATGAACACATCCGGAATTGCCTGTAATTCAGTCACCAGTGACACTGCAAACACCATTTACCAAACTTTTTCAAGGAAGTTCCTGTTAGAAGTTAACTTGAAAGAGTTTATCGACTAGACTCAAATTATTTCGTATTTACTTTGGTTTTGAAGTCTAAACAATCATCAAAGCGAAATTTACATAGATAATTACTAACATGTAGAATATATATTCCACAAGGAAACACGTACACCATGGTCACAGATGTTTACATATTATTAATATTCAATTTATCTTACAAGAGTACATATATTACTACACCGATAAATTTGGTCAGGCCAAACAAAATTGTATTTATGTTTCCTGTTCAGACTTTGATAGATAGGCAGAAAGGCAACAATTTGTTTTTATCTAAAAAAAAATGATTGGAAATTGGAAACATCCAGATGTACCAACAAAGAGGTTTATATTCCACTCTTGATTACAAAAACTAGAAACAAATTTTGAAACATTTATACGTAAATGACACTAACAATCTCCACACAATAGCTTGTGTCTAGATATTTTTTTCCCCATTTTTCTAGAACAAAGTTTTAATTAATTTTTACAGGTAAAAAACGTAATTTAATCTTTATTCTGTTTTACCCCTTTTATTTATTTTTGGTAAGGTTTAACTAAAATATTGTGATACGAAAATGTATCCCGCCAAGTTTGTTATTGTAGAGGACTTTGCTAATACTACAAAGGATACATATAATGGGGTATTATAACAAAGTACAGTAAGACAAAGAGAATCTTGAAATACGTTCGGGGTAAATTTAAGCAAGCTAGATGGCTATTGAAACAAGAGGCCCATTGGGCCTAAACGGTCACCTGAGTTGTTCTATAATTGTTACTTGTTGTCATGGGATAAATATTTAGTATATTTTCTTTTTTCTCAGCTTGTATTCAGGTAAAAATGCAACAGCAACATCAAAATGTAAAAAATCTTTCATAAATAAGGATATTTTAGTCTTTTAGATGAATTTGGGCCAAAAAAAATCAGTATTTGGTATAATTACAAATATACCCAATTTCATTAACCATAGCATCTCCTTATTCCAAAGCCACAGGAATTGTTTCTTTATAATACCTCATTATATGTATCCATTTACAAAATAGTCAAAAGAAAAGCCATCTGGTGGCATCTAAGGAGACAGGTGGTCTATGTAGCCAATTTTTCTTTAAAGCCAGGTTTGTTTCTATATAAAACTCATAAGATGATATTTATAAACAGGCAGTCTGTATAGACAGGTGGCATATTTAAACAGAAGGTTGTAATCGACAGGTGATCTTTAAAGATATTTTAAGGTCTTTACAGGTGATTTTTATAGATACAATTGTATGGGGATTTTATATAGACATATGTCATTATAGACAGGTGATCCTCTTTAAGGCAGGTTTCAATATACAACGGTTCAAATACCTACATCAAAAGTTGAAAAGTGCATTTATACATTTAACTTAGAATATTTCTATACCATTCAGGTCTAGACAGGGATTGTCAGATATTTATTTTACCTAAGTTCACCCTTTCAAATGTCAGATATGTTCGGTCTTAAAAATCTGAAATTACACCAGAAATCTGCAACACCTTCCAATGACAAGTATTATTGATCTAGTGAATTTGATATTACACCAATAAATGTCAACCATTTTGAGGAAACGACTTGTGATAGTGATTGCTCTTGAGAGTTCTCAAACCTAGATATTCTACACTAGTTATATTTATTGTGTTCACTAGATTTCAATGACATACAGATATTATCAGATTGCTTTTCCTTGAAATGGAATTGAATTATGGTACAATAAAATATCATATGTAGGATCTAGATTTACCTACCCCCAAGGAAACGAGATCTTTAAACAGTTTCTTTCACAATATTCATGCTTCTGACACTGTTCAGCAAATATTCTACGACCAACATATATTTCACCAGAGTATCTATAGAATCTAGCATCATCACTCAAAATACAGCTTCATCACAGAGACAGTGTTTATACTGTATAATACACGATGAAAAGATAACGCTACCGATAGTCTAGTGCATGAAATATAAATAATTGATGAGGAACAATGCTAACTGTGGGACACCTGAACGAGTATGAAAAATACACCTGTACAGTGTACAGTGTACCTGTATGACACCTGTGTTGATGATGCTGAAGACATAGACTACATCTGGTACTTCCTGAAACAGGGAAGGAAAAATGCAACAGCCAGACTGGAACCCTAGCCTGCGGAACCTCTCACCAACTGAGCTACAAAATGTACCTGATCACAGACAATTGAACAAGTCTATTTTCGTTGCATTCTTCCTTCACCGAACAAAGCCTTTGACCTTGAAGACATGCATGTCTCTATGCCACCTTCCGTTGGTATACCAGGTAGGCCACGCTGTGACTGGACGGTGGTTCGAACCTGTGACCATGGACGCCCTAACCATATGAGCTACAAATGTACCTTAAAGTCAACAGTGATCCACCCAGTTCAGTTTGGTTACATTTCATATACCCATAGATCTCTCTATATATACAGAACAGTACAATACATATATCTCTCTATATACAGAACAGTACAATACATAGATCTCTCTATATATACAGAACAGTACAATACTTAGATCTCTCTCTATATACAGAACAGTACAATACATAGATCTCACTATATATACAGAACAGTACAATAAATATATCTCTCTATATACAGAACAGTACAATACATATATCTCTCTATATACAGAACAGTCCAATACATAGATCTCTCTATATACAGAACAGTACAATACATAGATCTCTCTATATATACAGAACAGTACAATACATAGATCTCTCTATATATACAGAACAGTACAATACATAGATCTCTCTATATATACAGAACAGTACAATACACAGATCTCTCTATATATACAGAACAGCTACATAGATCTCTTTATATATACAGAACAGTACAATACACAGATCTCTCTATATATACAGAACAGTACAATACATAGATCTCTCTATATACAGTACAGTACAATACATAGATCTCTATATATATACAGAACAGTAAAATACATAGATCTCTCTATATACAGTACAGTACAATACATAGATCTCTCTATATACAGAACAGTACAATACATAGATCTCTCTATATATACAGAACAGTACAATACATAGATCTTACTCTATATACAGAACAGTACAATACATATATCTCTCTATATACAGTACAGTACAATACACAGATCTCTCTCTATATGCAGAACAGTACAATACATAGATCTCTCTATATACAGAACAGTACAATACATAGATCTCTCTATATACAGAACAGTACAATACATAGATCTCTCTATATATACAGAACAGTACAATACATAGATCTCTCTATATGCAGAACAGTACAATACATAGATCTCTCTATATATACAGAACAGTACAATACATAGATCTCTCTATATATATAGAACAGTACAATACATAGATCTCTCTATATATACAGAACAGTACAATACATAGATCATATCTTGAAACATCAGATTAGCAAAAGTCTATACATTTATTTAGTTAATTGATGTGATACATGTGGTAATGTTGAAAAACAAATTACAAAGAAGGGACATTTTTATTTGCGCCCTGCTCCTCGAGCCTCAAACTCTCTACAGCTCTATGTAGGCAGCAAATTGCCTTGCAGACAAATACCAGCAACTTTAATCACTACACCCCCACCACTTCCCCAAAAACGAAGCTTGGAAAAAACAAAAAGAATATCAATCCATTCTTTGTGACATGCTCTGAACTTGATTAGATTTTTGACATGCCATCCATACAAAGTTGATCCACAAATGAGGTATTTTTTCGTAAAGTGTATCTGAGTTCTGATCCACCCCTTATCTCTGTGTAAACTTGAATCCTGAATTTCGATACTCTTCTTCTGATCTACCCTACGTCTCTGTACACTTGAACCTCAAGCCTAACCCACATGTATTTGTCTGTGAACTTCTATTCCCCATCATCATTTATTATCATTTGTGCCTCAACAGAAGGTGATACTGGATTGTGTACATGTTATACAATGCATCATCTGTTTTCTTCCTACACGTGGATAACCATAGATCTCACGAAACTTTTCACATTTGAATAGTTAATTCAGATTACCATATTTGGTGTTACAAGCACAGCTATCCTTATAAGAATGTTGGTTCATTTTTTGGTCAAGATTTCAGTGGATTTTTCGTAATCTTAGTAACTGATACACCAACCTAAATGTATGTATCTTTTATCTTTCCTTGAACAAAAATGTCTTTTTGTTCTCATAAATATATGCAAGCACTCTTTTCTGTTGAATTTACCAATAATTAAAGAAATCTAAACAGGTTCATATAGCACAGCCAGTGAAGTATTTCTGTGTGATGTTTCGATAGCTGCTGTGCGATATGTACACTGTCACCTTCATTGGACAGTGAAGGATTTTTTGATACTCTTTTCATAGAGCTCCCCACCTCTTTGCAGTGAACTTATAAGATTGAATAATTTAATATCCACTCATTCACCCCTGAAATTTCATAATAAACTATTCCAAACTTTGATTTAGAAGAGTTCAAATGTGCCTCAGGGATGAATGAGTTAATGCTTAAGCAAATTCTACAAATAAAAAGAACTTACCTGAACCAAGATCGAGGAAGCAGACATTGCCAGCGTTGTCGAAAGCGACGGTGTCTGGAGTGATGCAGAGGGTTTGGAACATTTCCGGAGTACAATTAACGACCTCCAAAACAAGGCAGCACTCCCGACAAAGGGCCCACAACTCATCTTCTACCAAAGATGTGTCGCGTGCCGCTAAGATGTCTGCCAAGTTCACAGCCTCATCCGCTTCATTTAGACCAGCCAGAGAATCAACATCCTCGTCGTCATAGTAATTGCCATCTCTTCTATCGTATTCATTCAAATTTTCATCTTGTAATAACGGTGGAAGCTGATCTTTTTGAAGTCCGGCTAATAATTCCCCTTGTGTGGTATATTCCTGATCGTTTTCATTGGAACATTCCCCTGTCACATGAGAATCAAGGTATTCATACCCTCCTTCCTCCGGCAGGAAATCCTCCTCCTCGTCGTGGTGATTCCCTGCCTCTTTGGTATCCTTCGGAGACTCCATTTTGTGGAGGAAAGCCGACAGGTACCACTGATCCCTTTACACTTATTCACAGTGTAACCAGCGTAAACAAAACACAAGGTAGCACTTCACATGCTGGATAAACACTTACGATATTCTACACTGAACAAAAAATCACCTGACATTCTATAGCAAAGACTCGTCCGAATAAATCTCTGTATAATATATTTGTATGCATCACAATTGCCACTGGTCCTGAATAACACTAATAATTTCCATTTTGTAAATTACGCAGATATTATTCCGGAAGAACATTGACATTTACATTAAACGTCCAATACATCCTGAATAATTTCGGCATCAGATTTCCTTCATCTGAAAAATGAACAGAAAATATACAGGTACAATTAGAGTCAGGAAATTAGCTAAGCACAAAACCGTATAAAAACGCAAGCCATACGATACCTTGGTATAGATTACTGCTCTGTTTAAAACAGAAAATCGGACTGAACTTGCATATATCCACCTTAATGTGTAAATTCCAATGATTTTATGAATATCCACCATGTAAATGTTACACCACAGCAGACGGAATACCGATAAAAAACACACCAAACGTCAGGTGTTTTAAAATTCCAATGATATCTCGCCACGATCGGTGAACTGAATTGCCTTGGAATACCTGAAAACTAATCACAATACCTGCTGGAAAGGTAACTATTCTTAATTACAAAGAAACTGCGGGACAGTACGCTAATGAATTGTTTCATCGTCACGGTTAGGCTATCCTTAATCCCCTGTATGAAGACTTAAACCCACACATATATATATCAGAGTTTAAATACAGCCCAAGCATAAATCTACATGTGCTACAGTAATCTCTCCTGACAGGGTGCCAATAATTTTGTCACAGAATCCAATCTGACTCAGGTATTCTACTGTTGGTTGAAGCAAGGCACACAGGTAAATGAACATGTATTTGCCTTACCTGTGTGAATACAACTGACTACAGGTGTACATGTGTTATTGTCAGGCGCACACTTACCTTTCTCTTCTCTATCTGTTCAAATATGACCACATATTTAATAAACAAACTGTATTCGTTTACCTATATTTGTACACCTATGTGTGTGTATACATGTATACCTGTGCAGACTTGGACCCTCCCTAGCCAGTCTGTATTCAATACCCTTTTTGTCCCATATAGCTCTATAGCCTACCTGTATACCTGCTCTACCTGTAGTGCCTAACGAGAAATGCCTACCATATAGTCAGGTACCAGGCAGTAGGTATATACATTTTCCAACTATAATATTACATGCTGAGGCCTGTTGAATGGTTGAGTGAATTCACTATTTAGCAAATATGATCAATCTGAAATTTACAGGTAATACTTAGGATAACGAGTATTACAATTAACCTGAAGCTGCACGTGTGGCAATTACTATGCTCGGACTTCAAAACGATTTCTACTGTAAACAATACTTTACTGCTACAATGTATACACACGGTTTTCAATAATCCAATATATTACCAGGATGATGACCCAGATATCAAGAGACATACTTCATACCTGAACAAATATCGGACAAATATTTCCTGAGACTTACCTGTATACAATGCAAATACCTGTCTGAATGGTGACATATTACGGTCATTAGGACACCTTCGTGTTCACAGAAAGATGTAAATACACACAGCCACTGGAAAATCTGCCTGTTATGGACAGGTGACCTTTATACAGGGGTGAATAAACATCTGAAGAAATATGAAATACACTGTATCCTCATAGGAAAGGTAGTTGATTTAGACAGGTACTCGATATACAAAGGTGGTTTTAATGGGCAGGTTTTGGATGTAGAGATGAACTTTATAGACAGATAGTAGATAAAGAGGTGACTTTTAAAGACAGGTGTTTGCTATACAGAGGGTATCTCTTTCCAGGTATTTGTTATACATACAATGTAGGTGACCTTAATAGAAAGGTTTTTGATGAGGTGGCTTATAGACAAGTATTTTATGTAGAGCTGATCTTTGTGTTTTCTATACTGAGGTGACCTTATGGACAGGCAATTGATGCATGAGTGAATTGTCTAGACAGATAGTTGATATAAGAAGTAGCCAATAATAACAGGTAGTAGATATAGAGCTGACCTTTATAGACAGGTGTTTTAAAGACAGGTTTTTGATGTCGGTGAGTGACCCTTATAGACAGGTTTTTGATGTCGGTGAGTGACCTTCATAGACAGGTGATTGATGTCGAAGTGAGTTTTATACACAGGTACAGTAGTTGATATACAGAAGTTTCAAATAATAACAGGTAGCAGACATAGAGCTGACCTGTATAGACAGGTGTTTCAAATCATTCACCCCTGAAATTTCATAATGAACTACAAACTTTTGAATTGGAAGAGTTCAAATGTGTCTTCAGAGATGAATGAGTTTAAGACAGTTTTTTTTTTATGTAGATGTGACCCTTATAGTCAGATATAGGTAATATACATTAACTGAGATACAGAGATGACCCATATTAACAGGAAGTAGATATAGAGGTGACCTTTAAAGACAGGTATTTCACAAAGGTGGTCATTATAAACAGGTCATAGCTATACAAATATGACCTTTATAGACAGGTATTTCTTATAAACAGGTAACCTTAAAAGACTACTTCGAATGTTGTCTAAAGACAAAAAAAAAAAAATGTACATCATAGAGGGGTAGGGAGAGAGAACAGTGCACTCTAGTTAACCCTAGTGCTGCACAAGCATGTGAACTCGAGTAAGTTCACTTTTCTTTTTAACTCCAGTGCACTAGGCTATGAAGTAAAGTTTGTTCCCAACTCCATAAATATTCACATAACAGATTTTTATGGCTATTGGTCTTCATTCCATTTGGATAATAAAAAGTTAAGTGTTAATAAAAAGCAAAGTGCTGTTATATATATATTATGTTTATTTTATTATTTGTATACTTTATATATTTTGTTCATACATGACAAAATCAATCTTTCACTTCTCAAAAATCACTTTGTCTTTCTCAACATGTAATCCCCTGACTGCCATATTTCCCCCATATAAGTCAGGTGTCAGTATAAACAGGTTTACCAGATTACAAGGGTTTCATTGTAGACAGGTGAAATGAATTAGAAGAGTTTTACTGAAGACAGGATAACAGGTTGTATGTACATATTTACAGAACCACAATAAAACTTGACAAACAACTTCATCTTCAGTTCTAGCTTCCACAACAACGTTAACCTCATTCCCTTAGAAGGAGCCATTTATCAGAAGTGGTGATCTGAGTTATATTTACCTAAATCAATGTCAACATGGGTGATTTTCAATGGATTTAAATTATTCTGTATACATTTCAGTGTCGCTATCCTATTCACCCACGATATTGAGAATTTCCTATCCCAAAATACCCAATCAAGCAGCACAATCCTTCACCATGTATATATATATATTTATCTACAGCTTACCTGTAAAGTTTGCACCTGTTCAATTTCTGACTTCACAAATAAACACATACAGCCCGCTGAAATTGGCAAATCTAGCCAGGACTATACCTCTGTTTGTACAATACAGGTGTGTACTAGCTCATAAATCACTGTGTATTGAACCTAGGATATCTATATATTTTTTGTCTTTCAGAAGAACAAAAATACTAGAGGCACATCAATTTACAAATTACCTGTTCTGAGTCCTAAAAAGCATTGTCAGCTTGATGGAAAAAATAAAACACTGACTAATCTGTACATAGCTTTCATTTCTTCTAACTACATAAATATCTGATTATTTAAGCATTTCACTTTTCATAATGCTGATATCTATGCTTTTACAGTAAAGATTTTTTTATTATTTATAAACTTTAAACAAAAAAAAGCAATAAATTAAGAGATAAAATTTCCATCATGCTAACAATACTTTCCATATTTAAGCCCATGACTCAGTCAAGAGGTGGTTGATTAATGAATTTCTCTGTCAATTCGCTGTACACATGCACTCACCCCTCTCAGAGAGAATCCATGTACCGGTCTATTTTATTTACTCAGTGATATTGCTAGACTTTTTAAACTTTGGTCCAATGACATGCATTAATCATTAATATTGATGTCATAAATGTATTAAGGCTTATTTATCAGATATTTGGGGTTCCTAGAGAAAACACACTGAAATCATTTGTGTTACAAGTGATGTAATCAGTGTAAATAGACATGTATAATTCAGGTATTTATCCGTCAATAAGCCCATGCCTGGTAATAAGCCCACTCATATCTGATTAGCTCAGTAGAAATGCCAACACATGCTATTTCATTGTCCTGTAATAAGCCCGCCCCTATATAAGCCTGAGACAATGTATGCCCCCCCAACCCCCACCCCCCACCCCCCTACACCCTCCCCTTATAGATATGGTAGACATGATGTACATATATTACTTTATTTTATATTGTTAAATTTCTGTATATGTATGTTCGTTTAATTTTAATTTCTCTGTCTGTCTTTCTTTAGTTGCAGCATGAAAAAAAAATGCACACCTTGCAAGTTTTAAATTGTTACCCTTCTGATCGTGCTTATGTAGTTATGGACTTTTACGGTGTTGTCCAAATTTTTAACTCCCAAACTGTTCAAAAGTTTAACCCAAATTATGGAAAACAATACCTTAAAAAATACATACTGGGTAATGGGTATGCAGACTAAATCGAGCTTGGTTGAGCTCTTGCTGAGAACTTTTTGGTGAAAACCTTCTTCAAAATCTATTTCAATAATTTGCATGAACTGAAATTCAAGTTTTAAGGAAACTTCCACAAATTGACTCATCCTAAGTGCATATTAGTATCATTTAAAACTCAAATACCACAAATGTGGCCAAAACATATTCATAAATGATAGGTTATGTTCCAGCATACTTTTTTTTAGATTAGAATTCAACATTATTTTTTACTTTGAACCCCTTCCCCTTAAAATTGTTTTAACTTTGATTCTGTCAATATAAATTGATTTATTAATTCAGCTGCATTTTCTTTTAATTGTTACATGTGATATGCAAAATACATTGATAATATTGGAAAACCAAAGTAATAGACAACAAATTATTTAAAATATTTCCGTAATTTATTTTATTTTAAAATATTTCTTTAATAATATAATATTCAACTTTTGAATGCCAATTCATTAAATTCTGTCTTGTAGATTTATAAGTCAAACCTTTGCCATACAATTCATACAAATATAAAAAAAATCTGAGATATTATTAAAAGTTTGTTATCAAGACATTATGTTCAAATTTGCCTTAAAAGATAAATTCTTGAATAGAGACTTTTGTTGATTAATGTTCTATCAATCCTCCTCCTCCCCC